GGTTTGGGAGTTTCGAGTTCCAGCTTAACTCCCAGTCCTCCTAAATGAGGAGGCTTCAATCCCAAGGGCAAGCTTCCTGAGAAGTGTGAAGTATATAGATGTGGGCCTTGAATGTGTGAAAGGGATTTCCAAGGATTTAGGTAGTGGTGGGGGGGTGGGGAGAACAATAGCATCTGCTACAATCCATTTCATGATCTCACTGTTCCTTTAGAACAGGGGTAGGGACCCTTTTCTCTGCCAAGGCCATTTGGATCTGTACAAAATAATCAACTTAACAATTAGCCTGCTATATTTGGTCAGACATCTAATTGCTTGACAGGGGCCAAACCAAATGATTTCATGGGCCTTATATGGCCCTCGGGCTAGATATACTCCACCCATGCTTTAAAACAGCATCCCCTCTTAACACCTATCTCCTCTGCACGTGTTGTTGCCTTTGCTTAGAGCAGTGGCTCTTAACCTTGGCTGCACATTAGAATCACCTGGGAATCTTTTTAAAATCCTGATTTTTGGGCCTCATCCTCCGAAAATTCTGTTTCTTTGTTACTAATGTTGTGGCCCCACCCCATTAGTAACAAAGAAACAGAATTTCCGGAGGATGAGGCCCAAAAATCAGGATTTTAAAAAGATTCCCAGGTAATTCTAATGTGCAGCCAAGGTGAAGAACCACTGGCTTAGAGTATCCCTTACCTTTTTTTTTATATTACCATTCTAGATCCTGTTTCAAATGGTAAACCATTTCTACTGCCACAGACTCAGTTTGTATTTATAGTCATTACCAGTATGTATTGTGACTTAGCTGCACATATGTATGACTCACTCAATAGAACTTCTTGTCTTCTTGAGGTCAAGAACTAGTTCTAATTCAGTCTATATTTTTAGCATATATTTCTGAAAGGAATGATGAGAGAGAGATATAATACTTAAAGATCTGATGTTCTTTAAGGTTGTGTCGAGCAAATAACATGGTTGTCTTTTTTTGCTTGAACTTGAAATCATAATGTTTTGCAATGAAAAGAGTTTGTATTTGGCAACCAAAATACCTTTGTAGCTTAAGCAGCTCATGCCTAGTTGATCCATTTGTTCAATTGTCATGTATAATTTTATTCAAAAAATACTTATTGAGCATATTTGCCAGCCACTTGGCTAAGGACTGGAGACATGAGGATAAACAAGACCTAAATGATCTCAGTTCTCACAAAATCTTATGATTCAATGATAAACAGACAAACAAAAACTATGCAACCATATAGCACTATAAAAGCAGTGATTGGGGGAGTATAGGGAGCTATGGAAACACCCACACAATCTAGGCTTGCAGTTCACAAAAGCTTTCCAGAAAAGGAATGTGAAAGCTGGGCCTAAAGGATCAATGAATGTTAAAATGAACAAATTTACTAATAAAATATTTATTGGTTTCTGTAGTCTAATTTGAGGCCCTATCAGTCTTTGAACTGGACCTTAGATTTATGGAAATAATTCTATATAATAAAAGTGTAATATGCTAATTAGACCAGACGTCCTTCTGGACATCCTTCTGGACAACCTTACAAAGAAAGCTAGGGCTGCGAGGGCCAAAGCAGAGGTGGCCGCCCCGGCAGTGGGGACCGAGCCCCTTGCATGAATTTCGTGCATCAGGCCTCTAGTTGAAAATAAGTTCTTTGTGACACCACATAAGTTCAACTAAGTTTATTATCTGTATTATGATAGTTTGTTTTTTGTTTTTTATCCAAATCAGTCAGTGAGATGTATACTTTTATGGATAATACCTTTCTCTAAATCAGCTGAATCCTACTACAGGAATCCTGGAGGAGCCACAGTAATCATTTGAACTTTGCAAAATTTTACTTATGGTACCCTTGGATATTTATGTTTCAGATTTTTATGCATGACATATATACATCTTTACATATGTTAACTCTTAAAAAGCTTAAAAAGTTCAACAAGCAACAAAAAATTGAATTACCATATGACCCAGCAATTTCACTTCTGGGTATCTATCCAAAAGAATTGAAAGAAAAAAAAAAAAAGAATTGAGTTCCAAAGAGATATTTGTATACCCAAGCCCATAGCAGCATTATTCGCATAACCAAGTGATAGAATCAACCAAACTGCCCATCTACAGATGAATGAGTAGACAAAATGTGGTATGTGCGTACAATGGAATATTACTTAGCCTTTGAAAAGAAGGAGATTCTAACACATGCTACAACATGGATAAAGCACAAGGATATTATGCCAAGTGAAATAAGCCAGCAATAAAAAGACAAATACTGTATGATTCCACTGATATAAGGTGCCTAGAGTAGTCATATTCATAGAAATAGTAAGTAGAACAGTAGTGGTTACCAAGGGCTGGGGGAGGAGAAAATGAGGAGTTTTTGTTTTATGGGGAGAGTTTTAGTTTTGCAAGGTGAAAAAGTTTTGGAGATTAGTTATATACCAGTGTGGATATACTTACTGTCACTAAGCTGTACACTTAAAAATGGTTAAGGTGGTAAATCTTATAATATGTAAATATTTATATATGTATATTATAATATGTAAATATTATAAATATATTATAAAATATAAATTTTATAATTACAATTTTTTTAAAAAGCTTTTAAAAATGAAAGTAATGATTTCTAATATTGACTCCATTAATCTGAGTTGGGTTGGTGAAATAAGAGTTCAAAAGTAATGAGGCTCACAGCTCATGTAGTGGTGTTGGGGGTTGGCTTGTGACAGGGTAAGGAAGCTTAAGTTCTGCCCTGTGGGTGGTGGGAGCCACTAAAGGGTTGTAAAGAGAAGGACTTTGTCAGTTTGTGACTCAGAAAGGCCCCTGGTGCAGGGTAGAGGCTAGATGGGCAAGGGGCAACCTCAGCAGCAGCCTAGCCAGCCCAGAGGCTGTTGGTGGCCAGCTTAGAACTGATGAGAATCTGAATGTGGGCAGATCAGTGGGTAGGTTAGTGGTGGTGGGGGATGAGGATGGAGTAGATTCAAGATAATAAATTAGACAGACGCAGTGATTTATTAAATTGGCAGATGGTGGGGGGTGAAAGAGAGGATGGAGTCAGAATGACTCCTACTTTTCTGGCTCGGATAACTGAATAGGTGGCAAAGCCTCCCTGAGAGAGAACTGAAGAGGGGGAGGAGATGTAGGGGGTAGATGGGCTGAAGGCCCAGACACTGTACCGGGCATATGCACGACATTCTCCCACTCCCAATGAACACATAACTGATCAAGAATGAATGTTAAACTAGATCCATGTTTCCGAGGCAGATTACCTTCCCACATTATTCATAGGGCTAAGAAAACAGACGGATGGTATTGTGCAGTGCATGGAAATGCTCTAACCTCATTCTGAAGTGTGCTCTCTCTCAAAGAGGTGTTAGCTACCAAATTGTCGATTCAGTTATCAGACATGGGCTTCATCACCTCATGGGAGTGGGGGGGGGGTTGATGATTGTAGAGAGAGATTTCAGATTTAAATCAACTGGACAGGGTTCCAGCTCTGATGCCCATTACTTAGGTAACACCAGACAAGTCTCTGAACCTCTCTGAGTGTCAGTTTTATCATAAGAAAAATGGAGCATCCTAGGTAAGAAGGATTGCAATGGAAGGAACAGATGAGAGCCCTTTGCAAACTATAGTCAACATATTGTGTGCTGTATTTTTTGTTTTGTTTTGAAATTAATATTAAGCCCTAACCGGTTGGCTCAGTGGATAAGAGCATCGGCATGCAGACTCAAGGGTCCCAGGTTCGATTCCGGTCAAGGGCATGTACCTTGGTTGCGGGCACATCCCCAGTAGGGAGTGTGCAGGAGGCAGCTGATCGATGTTTCTCTCTCATCCATGTTTCGAACTCTCTATCCCTCTCCCTTCCTCTCTGTAAAAACTCAATAAAATATATTTTTTTAAAAAAGAAATTAATATTAAGCTTAGAACATGTAGAAGGCCTCTTTGGGAAATACAAGTAATGATAATCAATTTCTGAATAAAAGTGGACAACAGATTGAATTGCCAACCCTTTTTGTTACTCAGATTATGAGTCAGACTGAGAGCTGATATCCAAAAAAGTCATATTTTCACCTAAAAAATTAAAGAAATGCAGGCATGATTTTGTAAGAAAACATGTTGTTGGCAACATGACATGATAAAAATAACTGTTGGTGATAATAATGGGGTACTGGGGTAAGGTTAGATATCACAGTTAAGCTTGAGACAATGTTATGACAGTATTTGGACCCCGGCCCATAATACCCCTGTATCATTCACAGAGAACAAAAGCAAAGCAAAGCGAACTAATATTTTACTAGCTGGGTTGTAAGTGGTACATAGAATTCTTAGGAGAAATGATTCCTGGTACTTAACATGCCCCACACTGTCTTTATGAAACAAGCTGACCCCTATCACCTGAAAAGAATAAGTGGGCCCATTAAGCTGTTTACTGCTTTGGATTAAACCAGTGGTTCTCCACCTTGGCTGCACATTAGAATCACCTGGGAATCTTTTTAAAATCCTGATTTCTGGGCCTCATCCTCCGGAAATTCTGTTTCTTTGTTATGGGGTGGGGCCACAACATTAGGAACAAAGAAACAGAATTTCCAGAGGGTGAGGCCCAGAAGCAGGAGTTTAAAAAGATTCCCAGGTGATTCTAATGTGCAGCCAAGGTTGAGAACCCCTGTATTAAACAGTTCTTAACAAGCACATCCTCTACCTACAAGCCACCTGTGTTAGCCCGTGCCTCTCAGCACCCTTCTATAGCCCACACGTGGAGATATTACATTGTCAGGCAAAAGCAATTCATCAGTTTTGGTCGATTTTGACGGCTGGTTCGCTTTTGCTTGCACTTGACCTGGTGTATGGTGACCACCAAAAGAGCCTGCAGCAACGCCCGTTTGGGGATGTCAATGACAGGTACACTGTGTCCTGCAGCTGCAGTTAGAATGTGACGTTCAGGACTGTACCCTTTGCGAACACTAATGCTGTTTTTCTTTCTTGCCTTTCCACCTAGAAGTATCGATACCAAGATGAGGATGGTCCACATGATCATTCCTTACCTCGACTGACCCACGAAGTGAGAGGCCCTGAGCTCGTGCACGTGTCAGAAAAGAACCTGTCGCAGATAGAAAATGTCCATGGCTACGTCTTGCAGTCCCACATCTCTCCTCTGAAGGTCAGTCTGGTTGGGCTGAGAGCTGGTGGCTGTGGTGGGTCTGCCTTGCTAAGGGCGATGTTTGTGGGCCTGATAAAATGAGGCTTTTAAACAAACACAACAGCGGATGGTGGTTGCTGAGTGGTTGCTTTCTGTGGCTTGGAGGCTTTACACGGAAATCCTGACACAGGGCGGTTCCTGCGATTGTGGGAAGGTCTGGAAAATCTGTTTAGGTGCTGAGAATGGGCTAGGGACAGCCCGGGTGAATAATTGAAAGGGGAATGAAGCGAACCTCAGGTTTAAGAAGCCCAGGACTACATCAAGGTTTTGTTCAAATTGTCTTTTCCCATCTCTCTTCCTGGTCTCAGACAAAATGATGGGAATAGGTAGAACATGAAAACACCTTAGTGTCATACTTTTCCAACACTTTCTACCTTTTAATTTAATTTTAAGCAATTTCTTGATTAAACAGTATTTTGACAAGGAGAGAAAATGAAATGAGGGTAAGGATTTTCTGTGCTCTTTGGTTGCAAATTACTCCGTCTTCGCAGATGCAATGGGATTGTATGCTTTGAGTAAAAGCTTATGTGTTGATTAAAGTTAAAGAAAAATTTAATAGAGTCAATGATGTAATAGAAGAGAACTGAAATGAAAAACAAAACCACAAAACTACCTGGTAACCTAGGTTATCGGTAAAGAAAGTTTTATTTCATTAGCCAGAACATTCATTTTAGCAGTGCTTCTCTATGGTTGTTTTGCAATAAAAAATATAGCCATAAGGTGGCCTTGATGCTTTCTGGAATCTTATACTTTCTGAAATATCAAAGAAAGGATAAATTATGTTTAATATAGCTCCAAAATTTGGTACATTTTAAGTAACCTAGAATCCTAAAAATGTACTATCAAATAAACTAGCTCTAGCTACCATCAATTAATTAAAATAGGTTAATTCTAAACTTTCAGTATATGTAATATGTAAAAATAAGTAAATGTTATGCCTCTGGAAATCCTTGTTCAGTTCTTCCCCGAGTTTCTTTGGAAAGCATTGAATGGCTGGTGGGAATGAGTATGTTTAACCTGGAGAAGAAAAAGTTAAGGGGATTTACCTTTTAGACCTCAAGGGCTGTCATAAGGAAAATACAGCATTGGTGTCACCCAGAGGGTAGAGGCAGAGCCACTGGGCATAAGTAACAGAAATGTTCATTTGTGATCATCATAAGACCATAAATCCTGACAGTGAGAGCTACTCCCCAAAGTGCTGGCATTCCCTGTCCCTGACATCGTTCAGGCCTGGATGATGACCTGACAATGGTGGTGAGGAGAGGACGCCTTCTTCAGCAGGAGGATGTTTAAAACTGTCCCTAAGGTTCAGCCTGATTCTAGGAGTCAGTGATTCTATTCTGTGGTCAAATACCCTTCTTCTTTAATGATTCTTCCATTTTTTTTTTTTTTTATAAACGAATTCTTATCCTTATTCTGTGTGCTGACCAGTATAAATTGAGAAGTGGCAGAGCTGGGAGATGGACAGCAATGAGAGTACTACAATTTCAGTTCACTTTTTTTTTCTAACTTGTTGAAAGAATCCCTGTAAGGACTTCCATGGAGCTTCCCTTGTTATTTTCCTCCCAACATGAACTTTCTTCCCCTTCTTTGCACTTCCTTTTTAATCACCTCTATAGCATGTCTCCTAAAGGCTGCAAGCTGCGTGGGATAATCAAGGCTGGTCTAAAGCTAGCCTGGTTACAGTAAAAAAAAAAAAAAAAAAAAAAAAAAAAGGAAACAACCAAAAAACATGATAGGATCTTCATTTTGTATATTATGTCTTCAGCATATATATGATACTATAATTATCTAACCATCTATAGTTTGGGTGATTGCACAATGTATTATGCTACTTAATGCCTCGTTTGGAAAATGTATATTAGAGCTGAAGGCAAAGGTTGCTTTTTCTGAAGGTTAGATCAGATCTCAGATACAAAAGGAGATTTCCTATTTTACCTTTATCCCTTGCCTTCCAGGGATCTGAGTTGTGGCTTCAACTTCAGTGACTTCTCTTAGCTTACTAAGGTTTTCAATTTCTCCCTTCTATCTTATTCCTTATTCTGTTCTTGAAAAATAAAATATTGGTTTCTGTGGTTTTCATGGTGATGTTTTTATTGAATGGACCTCACCTATGAATAATAAATCCCTGATATGAAACATTAAGGTTAGAATAGGTTTTTCCCTCCTTTTGGGAACCACCAGCTCAGTGGTGTGAGGCCCAAGATATTGTGAAGAGGATGGGAAGGTAAGTTCACCCAGGACTTCTGCACCCAGGCTGTGAGGTACCTATCAGGAATCCAGGACTTTTCCCTCATGACTGGCTAGAGGTGTTGTTTATGCTGAACAAGATATACTTTTAGATTGCCTTAATGAAGAATCTGTGCACCTTTCTTCTATTAGCAATAATGTGAGGGATAAAAACACAACACTTGGAGATGTAGAGCTGGCCAATTTTCTGGTGTAAATACCCCCATCGTGACTGATTTTAGGCTACCGACCTGAAGCCCCTGGATGTATTTAGGAAGAGGGACACACGAGGCTCTCACCAGCCTGCAGGAGCACAGTACCGCACACCAGCCTCAAGCGCAGGTATTTTTATAGCAACAGGACCCATTTCCTAATCAAATTGCTAAGGGGCTATGATACTATCCCAGTTCCAGTGCTTGGAAAACCTGCCATGATTGAAATCTAATGTGTTATTTTCTCATAAAGGAAGCCTGTTAGAGTCGGAGGAATGCTAAGGAGGTACAGTTCTCCATTAGAGCTGGCATATCGTCAACCTCTTTGCTGCTTCCCTCTGTCTGGTGCTCTTGGGTCAAGTACTAAAAGGGGGGAAGAGTGAGGAGGCAAAACACACTGTTGGGAACTGCCCCTGAATCCTCATTAGCAGACACTGTAGCTCTCTAGTCTAAATCAGGGATTGGCGCGTGGCGCACCTCAACAAGAGTGTGAGATGGCTGGCTAACCGTTTAAATGTCCTAGTGAGCAGACCTCCGGGTCATTAGCTGAGGAATCCCACTGTCGCAGGTTGCACAACTGTTTCTTCCATCCTGTGTACCCCTTGAAGCCTGGGTTCTAAGATCATCTGCGTCTGGCCTGCGCCCGCTGCCTGGCTGATAGATGGGCTTGCCTGGCTTGTTTTCCTCCCAGTGGCTCCGCCAGTGTGAAGTATGGGGTTGGAAAGAGAAATGCAATTTAGCAGGCAATGCGAGGGAATTTGTTTCCTTGCCTCCAGGCGGGAATGCTTTCTCTTCAGATGCTATCTGGACTCTTCCACAAGAGAAATTGGCCTATGCTAGTATATGAAGCAAGAGAATTTTTCTTTTTCGGTTTAGGTCAATCAATTAATATTAATTGAGTGCCTCCCATGTGCATCGTAATAAGTGATGGGGAAACAAAGGGCAGTAAAATATGATTTTAAATATATATATATATATCAAATTTGTGCACTGGTAGGGCCCCTCGCAGCTGCCAGCTGCCAACTCCCTCCCTTCCCCTGGCCAGCCCTGCCCCCTGGTGGAACTCCCAGATGAGCTCCTGGTCAAAGGGACAATTTGCATACTATGCTTTTATTATATAGGATATATCACTCTTCTAGGGCACCCGAGTTCTAATTATTCATTACTTACTCTTACTCTACAACAGGAATTCGAATTCCTCAAGCTTAGATACAATGAGACCCCAAGCATCTGAGAGTATTCTCTAAAAGGGAGGGGAGAAGGAGGAGAGAGAAAGGGAGAGGGAGAGGGAGAGGGAGAGGGAGAGAAAGAAGGACAGGCTGACTTATTTTTAAGAATCTGGACATTAGAATACCTGGGTTTTAATCTTTGCCCTTTCATTTAGTAGCTGTATGACCTTGATCAAATTAATCCCTCTGCCTCAGGTTCTGCATCTATAAAATAGAGGTAATAATAATACTTTATCTCATAGGGTTTCTGTGCAAATTAAATGCTCTAATACATGTACACTACTTAGAAACGGCCTGGCACATAGTAAGCACTCACCGATGTTGTTTATTTTTATTTATTATCATCAGCCAGCTACCATGCCAAATACCTTAAAATCACTTATTTACCTCATTTTATCGCTAAAATATATTACACCTGGTTTTAAAATTAAATAGTTCCCACTTGGCTGGTGTTGCTCAGTGGTTGAGTGTTGACCTTTGAACCAGGAGGTCATGTTTTGATTCCAGATTCCCAGTCAGGGCACATGCCTGGGTTGTGGGCTAGATCCCCAGCGTGGGTCATGCAGGAGGCAGCCGATCAATGATTCTCATAATTGATGTTTCTAGCTCTCTCTCCCTCTCCCTTCCTCTCTGAAGTCAATAAAAATATATTTAAAAATTAAATAAATTCAATAGTTCCCTTCAACCACATAACTAGTAAATAGGATTCCAATATTTTTAACTAAGGCCTCTCTGAATCCAAAGCCTGTATCCCTTATCACACCTGTGCTGTATCACTTTTCTAAATTGGTCTGCTATTTTTAAAGAGATCTAAAATTTAAATTTTTATTCATTGTTTCCATGTGTGTGAAAGTTGAAGCTCCTTTTCTCCTTGGAACCTTATTCTGTAAAATTAAACAAATATAAAATACAAGGGGATATCTAAGAAATTTAGTTTTCTAAATAAGAACCATGATAAGCGGTGATAGATGGAAATGAAATACTATGAGAAAATAGAAAGTGTTTTCCTGTTTTGGTTCTATCTTTAATGCCCCCAGTAGAAAACTCCCCATGGACTATGTTCCACTCCCATGACAAAAACTAGTATTTTGGGACTAGTTTCCTTTTAAAAAAAAAAAAAAATCCTTTGAGAATGTAAGAATTTGTTCCTGAGCAAGAGAGACGCACTTTGTTTTGAGCAATGAAGGATTTTTCACATTGAGATACACTCCTCACACTAGGTTCCTGTGTCATTAAAAACCCCAGCTGAGCCAGGCTGGCATGGCTCAGTGGCTGAGTGTCAACCTATGAA